CACCATAAAATATAGGCACCTAATTCCTAGGCATGATGAAATGCTTGATGAATTGCATGGTTCATCATATTTTCTAAAATTGATCTTAAAAGTGGATATCATTAAATTCGAATTAAAGAAGGTAATGAGTGTAAAACTACTTTTAAGACCAAGTTTGGATTACATGAATGGTTAGTGATAACTTTTGGCCTTACTAATGCACCAAATACATTCATTAGGCTAATGAATATGTCCTTAGGGATTGCACAGGTAGATTTGTAGTTGTTTATTTTGATGATATTTTAATCTATAGAAAAAGCCTAAGTGAACATGTGAAACACTTAAGAAAAGTTTTGCTAGTCCTTAGGAATAATCACTTGTTTGCCAAGAATGGATTTGAGGACAAATCCTCTTCAAGAAGGAGGGGATGATGGAGTCCCATGGGCCAAGGGCCCTATCACTAGGGCCATGGTCAAGAGGATGAATGAAGAATGGGCCAATAATCAAGAAACCCATAGTATTGTTTAGTTGGGTTGTGCATTGAAATTCATGTAGAGTAGGTATGGCCCAATGCGCTTGTAATTTGTTTGAAGGCCTTGTATTTTGGTCACTTAGAATAGGTTGATTTTGGGCCATGTATTTCTCCCATTTGTAGTTTCATTTCATGTGAGTTTGTTTTTAATGTAATTTGAAACATATTAAGGATGGATTTAGAGTCATGTGACCGGCCATGTGGGTGGTGCACATGGTGTGACTCAAATCCACTCCAAATGTGAGCCAAATTACATTAAGATGCAAATCCCACATGTGGCAACGGATTAGGTGTCGAGAATCTAGGGAAGGAATTCAAATTTGAATTTCAAATTTGAATCTTTTGGCGCCAAGGGTTTAAATTAACCATACCATGGTTAATTTAAACTCTCGGCCACTTAGCTTCTCATGCACACTTTCTGTGGCTTATAAATAGGATTTCATATGTGTATGTGTTCACTTTTGGAATGAATGAGAATTAATCTTTGCACAAATTTCCAATTCTCTCTCTGAAAGTCTCTAAGGATATTTCACTCCTCATAGCCTCCTTGAGCATTCCTCTTTGGAGCCTTAGACTAGTTCACCTTCTAAATTGATAAGGTTAGCACATCTTGGAAGCAACATTGCCTTTTCAAGCTCCGAATTCTTTCCATGAATCTCCTCAAGGAACTTGCAAGAAGAGGTTGAAGTGTAATCCATGAAGTTCCAAGAAACCGAAACCTCATTAGTTTTGAGATATAGCAAGGAAGGATCTAATGACAAAGAAGTTGAACATTGGTAGTATTCATTCTGAGTGAGTGGGAAGTGTGTTCTAAGTAACTTCCTATTTTCTAGAACTGTCAAAACAAGTCACTAGGTTCAACCTACCATGGGTTGACCAACATATATTGGGCAACCCAACTTGGATCATCTTCTAGTAAGCTAACAAAAAATGAGTTTAGTCTGACCAACCACGGGTTAATAGGTTAAATGGGTTAACTCGCTTAATTTTAAAAAAAATTAAAACAATTTTTTTTCTAATGTCCAACCATATTTTTTTAATATCTATTTATTTAAATTTATTTTTTAAATATCTATCCAACCAAATCTATTTTTTTAATATATATATATATATATATATATATTAATATTGAGCCACACAATCTCATATTTTCTAATTTCTTTTCCTTTTCTCTTACAAAAATAAGTCTCTGACCGAATAAACAACCCTCCCTATATGACATTTGGTTGAATGAATAAGTGGATTATGGGTTTTTAATTTTTTTCTTGTGAGTGGACTGTGGGTTTTTATTTATTTATTTATTTCGCATAAGTGGACTATATAGGTTTTTATATTTTTGTGTGAGTAGACTCGTGAACTAACCTGGCTCACTATGGGTCCAACTCGAGTAAGTCAGGTTCTTAGTGGGTCGGGTTGAATTTTCAACAATACTAAAATTTGCAAATTTTTTTAGTCCAACCCAACTCAAACCCGTGGTGGGTTAGGTTGGCTCTTGGGTTGTGGCCCATTTTAACTGCTCTAATATTCGCTTAAAGCAAGTCATCTGGGTGCTCTAAGTGAGTGATCAAGTCAACTTAGAAGATATCCATAGAGCATCATAAAGAGCTCACTCAAGCGAGCCATCTAAGTGAGCTAAGACAACATCACCAATGAAAACATGTCATCAAGCTTGCTAAAGCAATCATCATGGTTGCTTATGTGAGAAAGCACATAAACATTTCTTCATGAAGTACCTTCTCAAGTGAGCCAGTTGGTCGCTTTAAGCTAGTGGACATCACAAGCCCAATTAGAGAAATCCCACTTAAAATCTTATCAAAATGGGATTTGAAGAAAATAGAAAGACATTTCACATATTATATATTTTATAGAGATTTGAGAGAATAAAGGAAGTTCTTGGTTGGGATTGACATAGTTGACTCTACTCTATGTAATTCTTTATGTTCATATTCAATATTTTTTTATTTATGTTATTCTTTTCTATTCATAATGTTTTCTTTGCCTGGATCACTTATTGCACAATTTCATAGATTTAATTGAGGTTGAAAAATCACTTTTGCAACTACAATATGAAGAACAAAATTGTTAACACTTATTAATAGAAATATGATAAGTCATATTATTAGTCAACATTTTAGACCTTCAATCTTAATGCGAGTTGCTTAATAAACTTATCATAAAATTGAGATTTTTCTTAATTACAATTTCTCACTTAAGGAATTAGAGTAAAAATATTTTGGTTGGTTATTTAATTAACTTGATAATTACTAAAATTGATTAATAATTGGGAAGGATACATTTGAGGAAGGTTACTGAAATCAATCTCTAACAACTTTTATAATATTATAAAATTTTAATTATATTTTGAATCTTTTTATTATTCAAAATCCCTAAAAGTATGTCCTTTATCTTTATTGGATTCTTGAAATAATATCTATCTTTTTATTTTTCTCTAATTACTATTAAATTAGATTAATTAGTTATTACACAAGTCTATATGAATTCGATTATTGAAATTGTGTCTATTTTACTCATTGTGACAATTGGCATGCTTGTCAAAAGTCTAACAACCACTCCATATATACATTTATTCATCATCCAAAATTGCTAGTCATGTAATTCAATCAATCTTAATTATAAACATAAAGACTCGTGCAAATGCATATGTTAAATTCTACATACATGTGATATCAATCTCCTCATCGTTACTAATTAAAGGCAGCCTAAGAGTCATGGGCTAGATCACCACACACTAGGTGACCCTCTCAATCCACTCTTAATTAAGGGATGTATACTAGGACCTAATTGAGGCATTACAATCAGTCATGATTATCTCACATCCATGTTAAAGACTCTCTCCCATATCACTTCCAAGATGTATATGAACGAAGAGACGACCATTCTACATAACTCACCCCACCTTGCAACCAAAACATGAATGTATGGATAAAAAATAACACACCAAAATAAATACAATAACATTATTATCAAATTACAACCTTGAACTTCTCCACAACCAATCAAGCCTACTTGAATTTCATCATTCTCAGTCACAACTTCAACTTAGACACAAACATATATCATTTTTCCCATACAAATTATTGATGTGGTCTAAAATAAGCAATATACAAATCATGAATCAACACCACCGCTTAATTTGTATCTCTATCCAACAACAAAGGTCGAATTGTAACTACTATCATAATGTCATACAAACCATTTTCCAGCCACCTTTACCCCACCTTCCACGATTTGGAACCATGTAAAGGGTCCAGGAAAGAAAAAGAATTTACACATCACTCGAAATTGGACAAAATGCATGGAAAAGTTAGCTTTCAAAATTAAATGACATAAACATTAATGATTTTTGTTATTTTATTATTTTACACCATTCATTTAATATAATATGATAGCTTGTATAAAACATTGATGTGATTGCAACTTACTAGGATAATATTTTGGTGACTGTGACATTATATTTAAATTATTTATATTCGTTTCTTTTTTTCTGGCACCGGATTGAGTTGAGATGGCAAGACCTTGATTCTAAGGTCATTCTTAATTATGAAGTAACACTTAAATGTATTCGCGAATGTTGTACAATCGATATACAATATTAGAACGTTTTGTGTTTTCTATAATATGTAGCTTGCGACAGTACTAGTAGTAAGAATTGTATCTTTTTATATATGTTTATTTCTTAAAAATAAATAAATAATAAAGTAAGATGATAATAGGTTATTTGTATTTGAAAATTGAGTAGTTTAAAATTATTGGAGTACAATGGACTAAACTATGTAGAGACAAAAAAAAAAGTTACACAAACCTTTTTTCTTATAACTGGTAGGAAAAAGAGGTATTTTGTGCTTCTTAATTTTTTAAAAATAAAAATTGAATAAAAAAGAGAAAAAATAGAGTAGATGGTTGTAGATGATTATTTGAAAAGAATATGAGAAATAATTATCTTTTTAATATTTAAAGAAAATAATAATCTATTAAAAAATAGAGACTAAAACCAGTTACATATAATTTTCTTTACAATAAGTATAAATATAAAAATAGAAGTCAGATGATAGTAAATAATTTGTATTATTGAATACGTTGGAATATTGATATAGATACGATGGTAAAAAAAAATGTGGAGAGTAAAAAGAAATTACACAAACTCCTATTCTATTTATGTACTTCTGCTTATGTACAGTACGTGTAGATAATGCTTAGTTTCCGTTACATTCCTTGTTTTTCTATAAGTCATTCATAACTATGATTAAATAGTTATAATAAATAAAGGACGACGTAGGAACCACGATTTGCATTAAGAATGCTCGCAGTTTCTTCTGAGCAGGTTTATGTTTATTAACAAGAAACAACTACAAATGCCAATACTCAAGATCTCATTTTCTACCAGCTCCGAACCATTTTCAAATTTCATGCCATGCAATTCTATTTTTCTTCTTCCAAGTAGCCTTAATCTAAAGCAAAATTGCAATAATATTTTGCAGATTTCTTATCGATCAATAACATGCACATAGGAAACTTAATAATAAACATAAACGAGGGATATATATGATTGAAACTGGTCTAAAAGTTCCATGCAAGTTCATCCATACAGTTGAAATCATGAGAGATAAATTCGGAGGTAAGTACACTCTCCAACAACCCAAAATCAAAGTTAGAACTCTCGAAAGAAGCACTGGTTTCAAGATTGCCCTTGTTATTAACTTCTCTAACATCAATCCCCTTACTCTCACAAGTCTTGTTCTTCTCTTGATGCACCTGCACTTGTGTTCCCTCTTCCGGTGTTTGAGCACTGAAATCTTCAACATTAACTCTTGAAACCCAATTCACATTGTTCTCATAGTTGGACAATTCAACTGCTTCGGGGTTCATATATGAAGGTGAACAAATGTTGGAGGTGTTCTCCAGTAATAGCTCATAAGGCAAATCTGATGAGAATTTATTTGAAAGAATAGTTGATGTTTGATATTCAGAGGAAACAATGCTAGAGGGAGTTTGAACAATGTTTGGTTGAGCTTTAGGTAGTGAAGAAAAGGTTTGACTAGTAGTTTCCACGGGTGCATTTGGTATATTTGAACTCACAATGAAAATGGAATTGGAATTTTGATGAATGTTGGAGATGGTACATGCTGAGCTTCTCCTATGAGAAGAGAGAAGAGTGTGAGTTTGTGGATCTAACCCTTGAGATATGAGCTTCTTTTTTATGCAGGAGTTCCAGAAATTCTTGACCTCATTGTCTGTTCTTCCTGGTAGGTGTTTGGCTATCTGTGCCCATCTGCAGTAGACCAAAAACACATGCATTAATGAATATGCAAGCCCTTGCACTGAATTATATACATCCTGTCTCATATCTATCTCTTTACTCATAAACATTAAATATGTCTTATGTTTTTTAACGTCTATCAAGAGAGAGAACACAAAATTTGAATACAATTTTGTGCTAAAATTATACTTTGAGAGGATGAAGGTTATAATTAGACAAAGATCTTATTGTAGACAAAGTTGATTAGATAATTAAGGTCATTATTATGGATTAAATGGATATCAAAAGGGATGATTTTCATCCATCAGTAGTTCCTTGATCCTTGGTTGGTTGTGCGCAAAATCTTGTAATAAGGATAAAATGACACTATACTTTCACATAAAGTTGTCTTTTAAAAACAGATTTAATAGATATGCTCTCACAATATAAAATAATTTTATCAATCAATCATAAATTTATTTTGGTATATGACTTGTAAGGTTGTTATTGTAAAAAATAAATTTATTATGTATAATGATTTGTGAATAAAAAATAATACAAAATCATTTTATATTATTTTTAATAAAAAGATATTGGAAGTTCATGTTCCCTTTTACTACCTTTTTTCAACTGTCTCATTTTCTGTGCTCGTAATTTATCTCTTTTACCTGTTTCCAAGAATTCTATGAATGTCAATTATGATCTGCTCTTCTTCAGCAGTGAAGGAACCCCTCTTCAGATCAGGTCTCAGATAATTAATCCATCTCAATCTGCAACTCTTCCCACATCTCTGCAAGCCTGCAAAAAAATCCACATCATCATCTTTTATTTGTTATATAACACACATACACACAACAAAACACATACATATATAATAGAGAAAAGCCTGCCTGCAAATTTTGGCACAGAACTCCAACTTTTATGTCCATGTGTGTTGATGTATCTTATAAGTTTCTCATCTTCTTCTGGAGACCATAACCCTCTTTTGATCTTTTGTTTGCTGCAGCAACGGTGACCCATGTTTGAGTTCTGTGACTGCACACACTTCTTCTTGAGGGAATTGAGCACTAGTGTTTTTGCAAGACTTCATTTATAAATGGAGAACTTAGAGGTGCATATAATACATGTGGGTCCCACCCCTTGTGGTATCCAAATTCTAACTCATTGTACAAATGTATTTGGTGGGGTCAATAGTGAGAGGGAAGGTTTATTACTAGAGTGACAAGTGCAAGGATCTGTCTTTCCTATCATTTATCCAAACGGCAAAAAATGTGCACTGACTTTTCTTAAGAGGACTAACTGTGTGATGAGGTAATGACAGTACTTTACCCATTTTTCAAAGGAAAAATATAAAATCACACCCGTTTCGTGGTGAATTGAGGTGCCCCAAAAAGAAAAAGCAAAAAACAAAAGGGAAAGGAAATGATATACTTACAAGTAGGAATGGCAATAAGTTGGGAGGAATAGTAATTTATGAAATTTTTATATATCTGCAAAAATATCCATGATTATACATAGATATTTGAAGAAGAAAAAAAAAAGCAAAATTTGAAATAAAAAAGTAAAATGAAAATAAAAATAAAATAAAATAATTTTAAAACATATATTTATATTAAAATATAAATTTATAACATATATTTATAATAAAATAAATAATTATAACACTTTTTCAAAGGAAAAATATAAAATCACACCCGTTTCGTGGTGAATTGAGGTGCCCCAAAAAGAAAAAGCAAAAAACAAAAGGGAAAGGAAATGATATACTTACAAGTAGGAATGGCAATAAGTTGGGAGGAATAGTAATTTATGAAATTTTTATATATCTGCAAAAATATCCATGATTATACATAGATATTTGAAGAAGAAAAAAAAAAGCAAAATTTGAAATAAAAAAGTAAAATGAAAATAAAAATAAAATAAAATAATTTTAAAACATATATTTATATTAAAATATAAATTTATAACATATATTTATAATAAAATAAATAATTATAACACATATTTAGTATAAAAATAAATTAAATTAAACTACTTTATATATAATTACAAGTATTTTTAAAATGTTAATATGTAGGTATCCGTAGATATGAATTATTATTTGTATCTATTTTATTATTAAGTAAATATTTATTGAATATTCATTTAAAATTTATAGTCGATTTTATCTACAAATGTTCGTGATAATAGATTTTTTTTGTCATCTTTAGTTATAAGTGATGTAATAAAAAAAAAAACTATGAAGAAAATGAGCTTAAAATGAGTTAAAGAAAAAGTAATAGTAAGTTTATAAATAGGATAAAATTTATATGCAGAAACATAGGTATTGTTAGCATTTTTCTTCCATCAGAAATGAAATTTAAAAAAAAAAAAAAACAAAATTGACGAAATTCCTCGCAAAAATGAGAAAAATGGTGTTTGTGTTTCTAGTTTTAAAAACTACTAGTGTTGATCAATGCACAATATACAAAATCTGTTTACTTTTAGAGTTAGTGCAACAAAACTTTAATGGGTTTCTTTATTTTTTTTAACTATTTTTATTTAAAATTATATCTTATAGCAAAACCAAAGCCTAATTTGCGTAAATCTACTTACGCCTTTTTGCATTTAGCCTTTCTATAATTGACATGCATGTTTTCTTTTGAAAGCGTGATGCAGTATAGAATTTTTTTATAAAAATTAAAATATTAATTAATATGTAATATTCGTGAACCTAACCGACATTTTGTGACAATATTACAAACATTATAATTTCTTTAGATCCATAAATATTATTGAGCAAAGAAATTAAAACAGTATTCATGACAAAATTTATAGCACGAAGGAATTCGTGAATGAATGATGAGAAACGATGTTATTGTCACGTTTTCTAATTTTATTTGTCTCTTGTTTTATATGATCATAGAATAAAAAGTAGTAAATAAGTAGGATTTACACATTTTATATCTTGTATATGGGTTTTTGTACCCTTATACCTTTATATTATATTTGTTTCTTAGCAGACAAAAATAAAGTAGGATTTACAAATTTTTTACCGAAAATTTTCATATTTAATAGCAACGCTGGCTGAATACTAATTTTATACTTTTTAATACACTGTTTATAATATACTTTCAATTATTAGGTAAAATTCGTATAATACTTATTATAGAGTAAATGACACTCATAAAACATAGAATGAAACTTATATAAATTTTAATAAAAAAAAGTATGTTTACAAAATGTTCGAAAGTTTATTCCAAACAAAAGTTTTTCCTTTTTGTCTATTTGCTATTCCTTTGCCAGCTACTTAACTTGTTTCTCCCATGAATAGTCAAATGTGACATGCCCATTTAAGAAACCGACAATCAAATATGAATTAAATAAGAGTAAAAGATGAAACAATGATCAAATGACCCCATTGGTTTAGGGAAGCATATCACATTTTGAGAAATGAGCTGGACTTGAAACTTCTGGTTCACTCATGAATTGTTGTTCCTCCAAGGTCAAATTGAGTGTCTTTGTAGCCATGACACTGACGAGTGCTAATTGAAAATCACTATGGACTTTCATAGGTAGAGGCCCATGCCATTGATTGCACCCCGACAATAAACATAGATGAATTTAAAACAGAAAATCTTGAGTCACAAATACGGAAGCAAGTGTACTTCAACAACAGGGAAACACATGAGAATGAATAATCTAATTTATGTATACCATGAATTGCACGTTAGACTTTGAAAAATTATGGTGTCCTAGTAAATCCATTTCGGTGGGTCTATCAAATCTTCAAGAAAGTTAGTATGATCTTTGAGAATAATTCTATCCCATTTTGTTTTTAGTCAGAGTTGAGTGATTGAGGGCTAGTTATCCTTGTAGGAATCTAAGGGTATGAATAAATTTAGTAATATATTCATAGACTATCCAAACTCAATTATTTAAGAGATTGATTAAATTTGTTTGTTTTAATACACAAATAAGCTCAAATTTAATTATATTAATTTAAATTTAAGCTTTGTACTTAATTTTGGTTTAGAAAAACTTTATAGTGTTTATAATATTATTAATTTCATTTTTAAGTCCTTATAATTTAAAATAAACACTTTTAATTCTTTTTAGTCTTTATCATTGATTTTTATATAACATCGTTTCTATGTGAGTGATCTGAACTTATTAAATGCATGTGACAGTGATGTATTTGATTTTGTAGATTGTGATGTCACTTAATGGTTTGGGAGGAAAAAAAATAAAGAGTTTGCATAATTTTGTAGACAATCAATATTTACAATGATCATCTAATTTAGATGAGCAGTCAAATTATTGATTATTACATAATAAACTATATATTAAATGATATATTATTGTACAAAAAAAACTAAATAAATCATTACCATATGAATTTAATAAGCTCACATAACTCATATAGAAACAACGTTACAAAGAAATTAACAATATAGAGACTAAAAAAGGATTAAAAGAAAAAATTGTATATATAAACTGAAAATGTCTATATTGAAATTATAATAATTAAAATGTAATGTAGAATTACAGAGACTACAAAGATATTTTAACCTTTAATTTTTTACTAATTTAATTTGTTAAAGTAACTAAGTTTTAAACATTTTTTTACGAGTTAAGTTTAAGTCCCTACAAGAAATACTATCTATAGTGACATACAAAAAATGTTATTATAGATATAATATATGTAAATATAAATCTATTTGATATATACTCACACAAATTTTAGTATTGATTTTGAATAGAATTTAACGAAATATATTGTGTCACTATTACATATATTTATAATTTTTTAACAATTATGAATATATAAATATAGATAAAAAATAATTTTCAGTAACAAATATTATATTATTATATATAATATGTAGGGATGACAAAAATACTCGCACCGGTAGGTATCTGCGGGTAAAATCCGCTACGGATAATAAATAAATAGGCTAATTGGGTACATGTAAATAATGGAGATGGATAATTTTTTACCCGTTTATAAACGGGACAGGGACGGATATGATGATATTCATACCCGCAGGTACCCATTTAATAATATTTCTTAAATATCATAATTATCTTTGTACCACATAATCCTAATAAAACTACACTCTCTCATCTTATTTTTTTTACAAAAGTGAGGTTGCACTACTAGAATTTCTCTTATTACATGCGACTTTCCTGCGAATTTTTCATAAAAATTCGTAGGAAACGTTGTTCCTGCAAATTTTTCTGCGAAATTTTATCTGTAGGTAATACCTTCGTGAATAATATATTTTTGCGAATTTTAAAATTCGCATGAAATTTTCCTACGAAATTTCTTGCAAAAAAAATTTGCAGTTAAGTTTCTTGCAAAAAAAAAAATTTGCAGGAAACTATTTTGTAGGAAAATTTGCAGGAAAGTTTCCTGCGATTTTTTTCGCAAGAAATTTTGCAAGAATATTTTTTATGAAAAAAATTTAAAAAATTATTATAAATTCTATTAATAATTTTCCAACTTTCAAATACTCAAAATGAATTCATCCAAAGTATTTGTTTCCATACCTCCAACATGTGATACATAATCTTTTAAATTCTAAGATTGTAGATTATAAACCTAACACTCAACCATACAAATCAACTTTTAAGTTAATTGTTGCTTTAATTGCTTTATTTTCAATCGATGTGGGACTTGAAGTTTTTTTAAAATATTAAACTTATAAATTTAAATTTTTTTTTATTTTTCCTACGGATTAAAATCTGCAAGAAAAGTTACCTGCAAAATTTTTCTCCCATTTAGTAAACATTACTTACGAATTTATTTTTGCAAGAAAATCTGCAAGAAACAAAATAAAATTCTTACAATATTTTTTGCAAATTTTTACCATAGAAAAAAATTTCTATGATTATTAAAATTGTAGCAAAATTTGTAAGAAATATCTGTAAATTATTTTTTGCAAATAAATTCGTAAAAAATTTCTGCAAATATTTTTTTGCAGGAAAATTCGCAAAAAATTTCTGCAAATATTTTTTTGCAAGAAAATTCGTAAAAAATTTCTGCGAATATTTTTTGTAGGAAAA